AACCCCCCTCCCCCCCCCCCCCCCCCCCCCCTCCGTTTTGTGCCTCTTGCACAGTCCGAAGACCTGATCCTTCTTCCATGGGAGTCGGTGGCAAAACTGTAAGTGCCCTGTGGGTGCAGGATTGGACTCTGCTATGCTTGACTGTGGCTGTCTCAAGGAGAGCCAGTGGATCACCTGAACTAGCCAAGGTCTATGGGTGCAGGATTGGGCCCCCAGATTCAATATGAGCCTTGCCAGAGCCTTAACAGGTGCCTGTCAGTTGCTGAAGGCACTCAGCACCATGTAGGATCTGGCCTTGAATTATGACCATACAGCTGGTCTGAAATGTATTTGGCAGTTGTGTGGTTTTTGTTTTTTACCATAACCACTTGGTAACTGATTATGAACTAAGACTTTATTTTTTTCCTGCGCATGGTTTTGTTTTGTTTTTGGTTTTTTTTTCACTTTTTTTTTTTTCTCTCCTTAAATGAAGGACAAAAGCAAAGTGTTACTGTCACCCCCCCGCTTCTCCCCGGATTGTACATACGCCGCCTGTAGAAGGTGTTACTATGCAATAATACAGTATCACATTAGTTCTGAAGCAGCTGCTTCTTCCCCAGCACAATGACAATTTGCAATGCCTTCCAGATTAACAATGTCCGTAAAAGGCATTGGTAGCCATTTCAAACAAGAATCCTGTTTACAGAGCAGCTATGCACTCAAGCACCTGTTAATATGACTCTTAACAACTGCTTTTCAAGAGAACTGTGACTAATAGCAGGCACTTGTCAGATGATACAATGGTGCCCTATGCAAAGGCCTGGCCATTGACAGGTGTGTGCCAAAAGAACTATTTATGGTTATTGACAGGTGCCTACTGAATGCATCTTTCTTTGTACATTGTTTTCACAGATTCATAACAAAGAGTATGTTTACATTTCAAAGGTACACTGGTATTTATATTTTTGTGCCACATTTTGTACTGATGAAACTTTTTATATAATTATATACAGTTTATTGATATTCAATAAAATGGTTAATTTATAATATGCTCTCATGGTTGTTTTTTTGTTGTTTTTTTTGTTTTGTTTTTTAAGTTAAATGCATGCACAGCTGGATCTTGGCAGCATGAAAAAGGGACCAGATTGTGAGTTGATCCCTCTTGCCTCATTCTGGCATTGTGTGAGAGTAGCTGCTTAAAGTGACAGCCTTTTAAATGACCAAAAGACTGTCCTTGGCTGGTGGAGCTAAATCTGGGACTAATAGGTGTAATCGGTTTTAAACGGGGTGCTGGAAGGAGAATCCTTGATGCTCCAGATTCTGCTTGCTGGGTTAGTGGAAGTGAAACAAAGTTGTGGTGCAGATGCAAGGAGCCTTTGTTGGGGTAAAGTTATGCATATTTTTTGGGGGAAGTTCAGGATGACTGAGTCATGGAAATCAGCTAAGTCCCTCCAGACTCTTCCAGCTGAGTGACAGAGCAGAGGAATGGAAAACACCTGTTAGTTCCTTAAATCCCATTCCTTCCCCCAACTGAAGCAACATTGTTCCTTGTGGAATACTTTTCTCATGCTCTCTTCTAGATGCAGTCTGCTACCCCCCTGCTTCCTTTGGGATGTTATTCAGGCAGCAGGTTGATGCCAGAACTCAGTTTCTTTGATACCACATCTTGTACTACCAGAAAGTAGTGGCTGGTCACAAGCCAAATATAGAACTGTGGTGCAGGTGAGCTGGGACCTATGGGTGTTTTTACCATTGAAACCGTTAGCTAGAAGCTTGAAAGTTTCTTTGCATAAAGTAGGATGAGACTCTTAAGGCACCTTGAATAATTTTGTGGACAAACCCATTAATTCAGTTTCCCTAGATGCCACAGTGGTGAAAAATGCTTAAGTCCTGTCTACACTGCTTGTTCCACAATTGCTAATTCTGTTGGAGTTGCACCAGTGGGAGTTACCTCTAGCGCCCCTGGTGCAGGCAAGGTACTTTGTGACGGCTACGTGATCTACAAAATGGATAATAATACTCCCAATCCCGGAGGTGGAACTTGGCTTGTGGAGTATTTGAAAAAACACTTGAAGTCCTTGGTTGCTCCAGAATGGCCAAGTCCTACTGTTAAACAATTCCTTTCCCTTGCTGAGCATATAGGGTCTAGAAATACTCTGCAAAGAAAAGTAGTTAATGAGGGGCTCTGATAGCATGATTACCTCTGGACTGGCTTCTATGTTAAATTCATTCACAGAGCCATTTTAGGGGCCCAGTCCTGCACCACACACGTGCGCGCGCGCGCGCACACACACACACACACACACACACACTTTCCTAAAGGGGTGAAGATGTTGGATATTTAAATACAGTGTTGGCTTCTTAAGACGGCACATCTAAATTTACCATGACTTCCCTACAGGCAAAGCTTTTGTTTTTGTCTCATTTCTTCCCTCTTCCCCTGGTTTTCATTATCCTGATCTTTGGGCAGAGAAAGGTAGGTATTGTTTTTAAATGTCAGGAACAAAAGCCAGCCATTCCACTCCCAGCAATCTGTGGCTCTGTGTCACCTTTTAAAGGTGGAAATGGATAACATCAGGCCAGCAGGTCCCATTCTCCTGCCTACTGCACCATTTCCTTTGGGTTTCAAAAGGCATTTTTATAAAACAGGAAGATGTGTGGTTGTAAAATGGAACGGATCTGCTGCATGCTCATTCTTTAATTAAGCGCTTGCCTGGTACAAACCAACTTTCCCATCTGAGCTTAGCTCATTATGGTCTTTATGACTGAACAAGGCAGGAAGGTTTGGGGGTTTTTTTTCTCCTTTTCCCAACAGGAAATGGTGAGGAAGAAGGGGGGGAAAGGTACATTCCACTAATTACTTTCAGCTTTTCATCCATAAAATTCTGGATTTTTCAGAAGTAACTAAATTGTTAAAAGGAAGGATTTCAGGTATGGACCACCTTCAGGCCAGGAGCGGGTGTACAGTACCAGGAGCTGATGTATAGAGAGAGTAAATATCTATAGACACGCTTACTTACAGGTATGTATTGTATGCATTTAAAATGCCACATTTGGAAGGTACTAAAGGTTTCTAATTGTTCTGTCCTTTGGCACAAGATTACTCCGTTATATAGATTGCTTCTGGCTTATGACTCTTAATTAAATCTTAAGGGCCATTCTTGCAACCGCTTGTATTGATCCTGCAGACAAGGCTGCTAGGCTGCCCCAACCACTTGGTTTTCGGCTGTCCGGCAAAGTTTTCCCTGGGGGGTGCATCTAGCACACGGTCTGAGTCGTAGTGAGATTTGCCAGAGCAGTCCCTAGCAATCCTGCTGGATCCCACTGGGATTCATGGTTCTTCCCTGCATTTCTGTCCATCAGGGCTAAATTATGCGTGCCCCATTTAGTGGGATTAAAAATATAGTAATAGTGGCAAGAAGGCTTTGTTCCTTGTATGAAAACCCACCAAGTCCTGATGTCCCAAAAGTGCCATGGTAAGCTGCATTCTAGTTTATCTGGAGGGTAGCAGGGGCTACAAGGCTTTTGCAGTGAAGGTTTAAAATGGACAGGGGACTGCCTAGGCTCCAACAGATCAATCCAATTCATGTTAAACAAGCACCGCATTAAACCAGTAGAAAGGAGAGGTACAGACTGTTTGGCATCCAAGTAGGCCAGGTCATTGCCCCTTATGTTGGGAGCAGGTGACATAGGTCCAGTCTGCTGGGTGGGGGCGGGGGGGCAGGCCAGAGTGTGACCAAAGCACCTTGCAGCACAGTGCTGCCAGGGAATGGCAGTGTCCCCATGAGACTGTTACTGTTATTTAGAGGTTATTTAGGCAGCCCTTGGGTTGCTTTTAGTTTTACATGTGGATCTGGACTAGACCATGCCTTACCCTGAGCTGTATGAAGTTGTTTAGAGTCACCTCCCTTAATTTCCTGGGCTAATATGCTGAATGTAGCTCAGTTGGCCTCCTTAAGGTGCCCCACTCTTCAGGTGCCATTTCTAACCTCCAAACAAGTCTCTTTGCCCACCCCTGCCAGGCAGGCAAGTTGTAGGTGTGATCAAGTCCTCTTAGATTTTATATGGCATTATTTGTACCATGTCCCACACTGGCAATAACTCACTGAACTAGTGAATTTAATAAATTGCCTCATTGGGAGGCAGAGCAGCTGACTAGCTAAAGCCCTGTACCAAGGCTTAGGGCTACAGACATTACTTAAACCAGTTTACGTGTAACTTATCAGAAACTGTTTTACACCTGTAACAACAGAAGCTCAGTGCCCATAAACCAGTTTCAAAATAGCTGAAACTGGTTTAAGATTAATCTGGTTGAATGTAGTATCAGACTTAACTGATCTGGGTCAAATTGGTTTATGAAACTTCTGTCCCAGCCCCCTTCCTGGTTCAAGTTAAATAACAGTCCCAGCATCTCAGCATGCTTTCCAGCCCTGGGATGGGCTTTCTGATCCAGCAGAGAAGGGCTAGTGGGGTAGAGGAGGGTAAGGCAGGGACTGCCATCCCAGGCAAACCCCAGCTGGGGTTTGGGGCCAGGGCAGGGGCTTAAACTTCTCTTCCTTTGAGTACAGAGCTGCCTTGCCCTGCTAAAAACTTACTGCTGGCTGCAACTGTGGACAACAAATCCCAGAGGCACCTGGAAGCAGGAAGAGGACATGAGGAGCAACCCTGCAGAGTCCTGTTGTTGTGATTCTGGAGTGCAAATCCCAGACACCTCTGGGGCAGCAGGAAGAGGAAACAAACACACAGCCCATGCTGGCTACATGCCAGAGAGCCATGCTCTAGTGGCCCCTGGTTTCTGGCCTGAGCCACGGCAGGCATGTGGCTGCAGTTCCTGCATCAAAGATAAACGTGTGTCCAGTTATTTCTCAATTTAATCTCTGCAGTTTAGATTAACCTGCAAAGACTGAATTGATTCAGCCTCGGGCTTTTTGACTATCTGT